GTAATTTTTGAACTTGACAGAGAATTCTGTTTGCGCAGGAAAATAATGGTAAAAATTTAATCAGTTAGCTTTTGTGTATAAAGTTTAACCGCAAAAAATAACAATGCGTAACTAAGCAATACTATTAGTGAACATTGGAAAAGGTGTGCAGATTAATTTTGTAAGTGCTCACTACTATTTTTTCCGAAGTAAAAGATAATGAATTTGTTTTACTTACCACCACCTAACGAATGTGTGAGTTGAAAACCTTGAAGGCAATCGCACGATTCTGCTTCTTTTCGAACAACGTCCAAGACACTGTCGACTAATTCAGCACCTTCGGTATAATGACCTTTTGCCCAATTGTTACCAGCGCCTGATTGACCTAAACAGAAAAGAAAAAATCATTGTATGATATCACAGAAACCTAAACATTTCTAAAAACATACCAAAAACGAAATTATCCGGTCTGAATAATTGTCCAAATGGTCCACTACGAACACTATCCATGGTACCTGGTTCCAAATCAACCAATACTGCTCGTGGCACGTACTTTCCGCCTAAAAGTTTATCATCAATGAAGACGAAGTAGAAGGGCGCTGAAGAAGATCTTACCGGCAGCTTCATTATAATAAACGTTGATTCTTTCCAATTGTAAATCAGAATCTCCATGATAAGTTCCTGTGGGATCAATACCATGTTCATCTGAAATAACTTCCCAAAACTAAAAAGAAAAAAGGATAGTTATAGTATACATTACAAACTTTAGAAAGAGCATCTCTTTTCATCATCCCTCTCTTTGTTAGATAGATTACTTTTATGTCAATTAGATATGAAATCTAGAAAGATCTTGCTATCTCGCTTTTGATAATGCAGCGTGTATATGAAGCTTCTCCAACTCTTACCGATATCGAGACTCAAGAGAATAAAATCAATAATCAGTAGAGAATGGTGCTACCGAATACTAAGGCATATATTAATTCAGAAAAGATGACTAAAAAGGCATATATTCTGTTCGAATTATATACCTAGTTAGTTACTTGCATATAATGTGTAAAATAGATCTACATACTTTCGCTCCAATTTGATTTCCACATTGTCCAGCTTGTAAATGTACTATTTCTCTCATAATTAATTTGTTTCAAGTAAAATAAATTTATGAATGTTTAATGGTTGTCGTTAGTATAGTCTACTCTTCTCTCTCTGTGTAAAACGAATGAATGAGTTGTATTGCAGTTCTGAAGATAAAGTTTTTTTTCTTCTTTGTTGTGTACACATACTATACTCTATTGCATCCAATATGTTGGCAATGGTAACATGGGACGGAACTGACGAAGAAAAAAAAAGAAACGAAGAGAAGATCATAAATGTTTTGGAGCATATTTGCCATCGATGTATACATACGTATAACAAACATTGAAACTCTATGGTAAAGATGTGAAAATGACTCACTTCTCATAACAAATTCAAAAAATACAATCCTGACACCAAGCTTCACAACGAGGTCATAAAGTTCATTACCACAACAAAGACGTTTTCAATTAAAAGTGAACTTACATTAAGTTTCAGAATGGATATCATTTTGTCATTTGCAACAGATGTGACCTAACAACGTTTGGGCAATAAGCTGTGTCAGGTTGTCTTTGTGAACTTCCGTCTTTTAGACGCTTGTCCCATGAAAAAAATCTCAGTGTGGCAGTATTAATATTCAAATATCTCTAGGTTTAAGAGAATCCTGGTTTTATGTCCGACTTCCACTCATTGGGCTTAGAATCAAGTTACTAAAAGTGCTAGATGTTATATTTTTATTTTCTGCACATACATCGAGATTAAACCATTTATGTATCTTTGAAACTGTTAATTCACTCTTCTTGTTACGAACATTATAAAATGTGTCGTAAAGACGATGTAAGTTAAACTTAAATTTTTATCACTATTCTTGACACGCGTTTGTTTTTATTTCCTGTTTGCTACTGCGATATACAAGACCACCATGCCCATTTTCAGATCTCATGTTCGTTCGTATATGGACGATTATATGAGTATGTCAAACATCCGTTCGTAAGACTAATGGCAATCAACGCATAATTACCGCACTATCTCATCTTACGGCCTTACAAAGCGGTGTTGGGCGGCATGTAGTCTTTTCGGTAATACATAAGATTATCTTTGCAGATAAATTTAGGTACTGTCCTATGTTTGGTCCTGCTGAATCCCCCTCGCTTCTTGCCTTTATTCATAGGCGCAGTGGGAAAGTGTCTTTGAAATATTTAATCCTTGGATCTGAAAGAGAATGTGTTTCTACCGTGGAACTTATAGTATCTGAAACACCGGCTGACAGCTGCTAATCCGAGCGAGAAGGCCGCGGAGATGTTCGCAATAAACAGCACATATATTGAGGTATATTTGTGCAAAGGCGCACTTTTGATTTTTCGCGCAGTGTCTCGATCATTGCCCACTATTTATGTAGGAGGGCGAGGACTTTCTCAATAATCGAAAATTTTGTTGGTTTCGTACAGCGAAAGGTTATTGTTACATTAGTTTTTCGTACCGTTTCTATAGGTAAAGATTAATCTAACTCAACGAAAACCTTTCATATGTGCGATTATTTGCGCTTTAGATTTCTTATCACAATGTCCGACTAGAAATGTCATAGTAAACCAAATGAAGATGTTTAGTGTTCTAGAAAGATGTCCCTCTCTTGCAGTGTATCAACCACTGATCTACAAACGAGGCACACTAAAGTCAGCAATCGGTCATCAACTGATAAATTATTAGTTAACTATATACTGTATCTAGAATTAAATATTATATGCTCTTGATATGATTTATTTATTTTTTTCTTTCATTCTACAAGAGAAAATTAACCACTTAACTTTCATTCTTCATACTCGTTTAAGTAATTCTAGCATCTTCTGAGGGGCACCGATACAAACAGTTGTAGTATGGTAACCAGGGGTCTCAAATTGGGTGACTCATACAGAACAGAGCAAAAGAATCACCATGACAGTCCTTTGTTGTCTCCCATGAATCACCGAATTTGAGACCTCTGATTGTAACGATGAAACGTTCATGTAGTTCTACTCGTACATATTCTGTGAACTAGACATGCACCGATTATAATCGATAAATCTCGCTATTTTTCTGAAACGGACTGCATGAAAAGTATCCATATTCAAATTTTTCTAACAACTCGGTTTTGTAGAGCAAATATTTTTCTACAAGATGAACCATGGTGAAAGTCTTCATGTTTTCTATTTCTACCATAATGGCTTTTCGACGAAGAGTCTTAAATCGGGTATAACCGATCATCAGTCTTTTAAAAAATATCATGACAATATTGATTCAAACTTTTTCCTAAAGTTCTTTTTTGTGATATTCCAAATATACTGTAAAAAAACCGCACGTTTTAACCCGACAGTTTAACCGTCAGATAACCTGACTCTTAAAACGTCAAAACTGTAGAGATAGCTTAGATGCTTAAAACGTCAGATTGCGAATCATTCTTTAAAAAACAAACCCACCCTGACGTTTTAACCGTTCCAATCAGACGCCAAAATAGCGATTTTGAGCTTTTTCTCCGCCAAGTTGCGCAACCTGATGAAAAAAACGTTAAATCGGTTGAATCATCTGCGACTGTGTAAACAAAAAACATCCGACGCTTAAGCGTCGAGTTTTTCTTATTGGATGTTTAAAATGAATTATTCTTTCTTTTATGCTTAAAATGTTTTAGCTTAACAGATCAAGTTGGATTTTTCAATGAAAATGCATAAAAATTTAGCAGTAAAATCAATGTGTTGCATACTGCCCAAGGAAGGTTGTTAATCACAAAATAAATACTAAATTAGTTTTTTCGAAATGTTCAAAGAAATTAGATGCAAAGCAGAGAAATCTACCACCTAGTCAAGTAGAGATGATCGTTTTGCCAAAGAATAACCGGAGTGTCACTAGGTAAAATGTGAAGAAATCGCTGGTTCTTTTATAACGAGTTCAGACGTAATCTTAGAGGCTTGTTCACAAATATTTTTGCAAGGTCCGATTTACAAACAAATCAAAGCATAAAAAACTTATGTATTTTTATTACAACGACCTTGTTGTTGTGAATAACAACAGAACAAGAAAAAAATAAACAAATATTACAGGAAAAAACATCAATAATTTGATAAATATTTAATATTTTAAATTGAATAGAAATTCTAATTAGAAACTCTTTGTCGTTGTCGTTTTTTACAAGAAAAATCTCATATTTGGGATAAATACATTATTGTGGGAAGGATGGCATCGCTGTGAAATGTAAAATGTATTTATTTGAAAAACAACGGATTTCTTCAAAAAACCGAGAACGACAAAGGGTTTCTTAATTAGAATCTTCATTTAATTTAAAATATTAATTCAATGAATTCAGTCCAGGTAACATATATGCAAAGTACATAAACTAAGCCATTATATGCATCAATTTACATGCTAGAGATTTCCGAAATAAATAAATAAATCAAAGACATTTCCTTCCACTATTCTTTAGCAAGGTGTACCTTTTCAGACTCATACGCTGCCCAGTGGCTATTTCATTCCCTCAATACAAAATCATACAATGGTTTAAAACGTTCCAACGGAACGGTTAAAACGTCATGTTGACCTAGCGTTTTAACTGTGAAGTTAAGCATCAGATTTTGACGGCTGTTTCGAAAACACAGCAAAAAGTGTTGCCAAATGGCAACATCAGGCTGGAAAGGGTTAAACTAGCAGGTTAGCATGGTTAAAGCGTGTGTTTTTCTTACTGTGTAGCTGTTGTAGTATACTGACATGATCTACAAGATGCGATACTTCACTGTTTTTCTTCTTGTATTCTCTTCATACAATAAATTGTTGTAGAATTTGTTTCGATTTGATTCAGATTATGACTCGATAGCGTTAAAGTTATAACAGCGCCTATTGCTCGGCGCAATGTAACCATTGCTTGGTGTAATTGCCCATCAGTTTTGATCCGTCAGCCATATTAATGATCAAATAATCAAATATTAATGGAATTAAGCTTCTTACTGGTTTTAGGAGTACTTCAATTTAATACTAATGCAAGTAGGAAAACATCGAACAAATCACATCATACATATCTTTTTGGATTGTTCTTTCTTTGTTTCTTGTTTAGATGTATTTGGTCAGTTACCGGCAAATTATATACTATTTTTGGCTCCACATGAACGAGGACACTTGAATCCCATCTTAGAAATTGCGAAACAGTTAACATTTAGCGATAAAATAAAAGAATATGATGTTATCGTGGCTGTACCATCATTGGCCGATGTCAAAGTGGCAAAATGGGTAACAAATGAAGGTTTACAATATTTGGAAGCTGGTACATCAAATATAACGTTAGAAAATATGCACAACTTCGCCCTTTATTCACAGAAAAAAGCAAATTATTTTGGTAAGAAATATGCAGAAAGCATGAGCAATAATCTTGAAGAATATATTCGCGAATTTCTCTGGCGCTGTAGACAAAGCAGAGAATCTATAAAAAAAACCATTTAGTGTTAATTTTCGTTTTTCACCATTTTATCTTCACAACCTTTTCATTGTAGGTTTTTTATACTGGATGGCTACGATATTCCATGACTCGAACTTGGTAGCTTATACCACATTACTACCTCTACTGATCTCATTTCCACCTCGTTTAATAGTATTTGACATGATGATGGTATGGTCAGTAGATTTAATTCAACGGTTACAGATACCTGGTATCCTCGTATGTCCATTTGTTATTGATTCTCTCAATTTACGTTCAATTTGAACGATAAATTTCTGGATTACGTACAATTGTTTCTACTTTATAAACAATTTCATCTGGTGTAAAATTATCTTTGTCAATCAATAATGACGTACCTAAATTAGAAATAAACATAGTAAATTTTGTCAATAAGCATTAGTTAAGCTTAACTAGGCATTATACTGCATTCACATATACCAAATATATTTGTATTACCTAATTGATGACTTCTAACAGCAACTTGTATTTGATCAACAAACAATGGAAATGCTAACTGAGGTATTCCGTAGAAAATCGACTCATGCATCGAACCCATTCCACAATGATTTATATACAAACCATGTTTTCTCATTGCTCGATGATTTAAAACAGATTTTTGTTGAACATAATCTTCTAATCGAAATGAGTTTGTATCATTTAATGGATTTTGTTTAAATAAATTTTTACCTCTTGCCCATAAAATTCTTACATTTAAATGTTGATCATCGATTTGAATTCCTTGTTGAACAATTTGAACTAGACCTGTTGTTAGTTTATCTAATTGATTTTGTATATATTCTGATCCAAACAGAAACTATTCATTTTTTCTGTAATTCTAACGAGGGAAGTACCCCAACTGATAAATCGCTTTTTCAACGAAACCGAGTGGACTATAGGTAGTCGACGATGCTGATTCCGAATATCACCATGAATGCTGCTGCTAGGCCTTCAAAGACCGG